TGCTCCCTCACTTGCTTAAGTCTACATATCACCCTTTTAAAGAGACCCTCCCCAGACCACACTATATAAAATACTAACCACCAAAGAGTGGCCAAATGCAATGCCACACCTCTACCCCATGGAGCACTACGCAGCTGTACAAAAGGAGTGAGGACGGTGTCTCCGGAATGATGTTCCAGACATGGTTAATTGACAAAAACAAGGTATCAAAGAGTACATGGTATGAGTTATCTGCTGTTTAGAAAGGGAGTTAGAAATAACCATATGTATCTGTTTATAACAGCAAATAGAAAGAAGAAAGATAAAACAGAAACAAATTATATGCTATGGGGGGGGGGGGCAGTAGGATTTCTCTGAGCATATCTTTATATAGTTGTGACCTGAACCATGTTAATATATTACATATTTAAAAATTAAAGCAAGGGGGAAACCCTTTAAAACTGAATAGAAACAGAAACAAATTAATGCAACTATATACAAATCAGTAACATAACCACACAGAAGAAAAAAAGATTCAAGTAACTTTTTTTTTTTTTTTAATATATTTTATTGATTTTTCACAGAGAGGAAGGAGAGAGATAGAGAGTTAGAAAGATCGATGAGAGAGAAACATCGATCAGCTGCCTCCTGCACATCTCCCACTGGGGATGTGCCCGCAACCCAGGTACATGCCCTTGACCGGAATCGAACCTGGGACCTTTCAGTCCGCAGGCCGACGCTCTATCCACTGAGCCAAACCGGTTTCGGCTCAAGTAACTTTAAAATCTAGTATTCTGTACATATCCAGTGGGACACGTAGAAAAATTAAAAGTGGCAAAGAGTCCTGGCTAGCATCAGCCCGTGCCCCGAAGGGTCAAGGGTTTGGTTTCCAGTCAAGGGCACATACCTGGCTTGCAGGTTCCATCCCGGCCTGATCAGAGTGCAGAGGCAACCAATCGAGTGTTTCTCTCACATTGATGTTTTTTTCTCTCTCTCTCCCCCTTGACGTCCCTCCCACTCTCTCTAAAATAAAATCAATGGAAAAATTTCCTTGAGTAAAGATTAAAAACAACAACAACCAACAACAAAAAAAGAAGGGCAAAGAAATCTTGAACTACATTTAATAATTGTCTGTGCTTAGTAGTGGTATTGGTATAGCAATTCTCAAACAATTTTGTGTTTAATATAGATTAGGAAAATATACTGATGCTACTAAGAATAGAGTTCTCACTGTGGAGAAGCAAGAGGCAAAGATGGAAGGGAGGAAGGGGAAGAATAATCTAATTATTGGATTAGCCTGAGCTTTAACACGACAAACCCACCACTTGGTGAAAACTCTATTTCCTGGCTCTGACATCAGGCAGGGCCGGGAAGCCAGGAGTCCGGTGCCTTGAGCGCACCCGGCACTCAGAGCATGATTTCTAAATACCTGCCCCAGCGGAATGGTACAAGGCTGAGGCAGGAAAGGAGTCCAGAATCTCTTTCTGTGCCAGAAAGGAAGTGCTCAGAAACTCATGGAAACCTGGCAAAAGGGCACTGAAGCTTGAGGGGTTCTCACTTGCAAATCTGAGGTCGCTGAGCATCGAAATGAACAGTGACGGGAATGCCATGTGGCAAACATCCACGAAATGAAAAAGGGAGGTGCAGAAGGTCATCGCTGAAGAATGTCAATCATGTATAAAGAAACACAGGCACTGGGATTTGCCATCTACAAAGAATCGCCGCTGGATGCTGAAACAGTGCGTGAAAGATTGTTGGGGAGCAGGATAATCACACAACCTCAAAATGTCACTTAGTAAGTCACGTACTACGTACAAAGGGGAGAGGGCGCCTCCACCCTGGAGAAGCCTGGTGAACCTCACCTTAACCAAATAACCGAAGTTAACATCTCCCATAATGAGGCAACCGGACTGTACCTGCCGCTGACACACCACACCTACAAAAATTCCCAGGGCCCGCCAGCCAACACATAAAAATCTCTGCCCGACAAAGTATCTGATTACGAGGACACAGACGATCCAAACCGAGGGACATTGTATAAAATAACTGCTCCGGACCCTTCAAAAATGGTGATGTCATAAAGAATAAGAAACAAAACGAAAAAGTTAGCAACAGTTCTAGGTTAAAGGGGATGAAAGAGGCATGCCTTCCAAATGCAGGGTGAGTCATCTTTAGTTTCTGGGCTCTTGGACAAAACAGGGAAGCAGTATTTCCTGTGACAGTGGTTCTGTGTCTTACGGAAGACACGGGGTTCTTAGAAGACACACATGGAGCCCTGACCTGTTTGGCTCAGTGGATAGAGTGTCGGCCTGTGGACTGAAGGGTCCCGGGTTCAATTCCGGTCAAGGGCATGTACCTTGGTTGCGGGCACATCCCTAGTAGGGGGTGTGCAAGAGGCAGCTCATTGATGTTTCTCTCTCATCCACGTTTCTAACTCTCTATCCTTCTCCCTTCATCTCTGTAAAAAAAATCAATAAAATATATTTTAAAAAAAGAAGACACACATGGAAATATTTAGGAGTAAGGTGTCATAAGAACTGCAACTCTCAAATGGCTCAGCGTAAAAATAAATTTTAGTACGTGCGTGTGGAGAGAGAGAGAGAGAGAGAGAGAGAGAGAGAGAGAGAGAGAGAGAGAGAGAGGAGTAAATCAAATGTGACAAAATGTCACTAACTGGTGATTCCAGGAGAAAAGTGTACACGTGTTCACAGGGTACTATTGTGGCAACTATTCTAAAGATTTTAAATGCCCCTAACGATTAATAACTTAAGAAGAAATGCTGACCACTTCCCCTCCCCTTTCCTCAGCACTACGGATTTGTAAATGTCTACTTTTCCACCACCCCGTGTCTATGTATTTACTTGGTTCCTTATTTACTGTCCCCCCACTACAATGTGCGCCTCTCAAAGCCAGGTTAAGTCTTACTTGCTGCGTCCACATCCCTGGTCCTTGTACAGTGCCTGACACAATGTTGACACTCAGTTAAGTATTTATTATTGAGTGTTCGCAACTATTCTATGAAGCTGATGCTGTCAGTGTCCTTTTAATGCCAGGAGCCAATTCCAGCATGCTCAGCAGGGCTGGATCATCTGGAGTGGCATTTCCCCAAACCTGAAAAGGTGCATTAAATTGATTGTTTGCTGCCAGACAGCTCAGGGCATCTTAATCTACATGTTATTGCCTCCTACTGGCCAAACACCTGAACAGCCCCTTCTGACAATGGACTCTGTATAGGAAACCCTGACCCTTTGAAGTGTATAGCTCTGCCTCGCCTCAGGACAATTTGTGTTAATAAAAAGCATGGGATCCTGAAACGAGGAGAACTTAGTTTCGTTAGCTAGGCTCCTCTGACCCCCAATATGCCTTTCAAAATTATATTTCGTCTCTGGACTCTTTAAGTTACACACAGCCCCTTCTCCAGATTGCTGAACCCTTCTAGATGCTGGAACAAGATCCCAGGCATTTTAAGGGCAAAGATACTGACGCACAAAAAAAAAAAAAAAAAAGATACTGACACACAGGAAAGGTAGGTAACTCACAGACGTTATGACTCAGGTGAGGGGTGCATTCTGGGACCAGGGAGAGATCAGCTCATTTGAGAAATCACTCCAACCATTGAAGTTCTGTCTGTGTCTCCTCCCTCTGCCACAGCCACCGGCCTCTGGTGCCCTCCCAGCTCTTTTGGCCCTGGCCTCCCTGCCTCCAATCCCTCCCCCACGCAGTCCTTCCTCTTTGCTGCGGCCAGTTTACTCCTCCTAAGTGCATGGTTCTGCGCCTGACAGGCCCAGACAGAGTTCTCCTTTGTCTGCAGAAGAGAATCTAAACTCCCAAGGGGACCCCCACTCAGGGCTCCCCAGGGGGCCTGGAGCCCGCCCGAGTGGGCACTCACTCTGCGGGGACACGGCATGCCCCGTCTCACCTGCACACTCCACTCCACTCCGCGGCCCTGCCTTTCTCACCTGCTCGCCCAATCACAGCACATCCACAAGCCAGCGGTCCCCTGAGGCCAAGTTCAAATGCCATCCCTCCCGCAAAGTCCTTCTTCCACAAAAGATAACTGATTTCTCAATAGGTACCTAGACACTTCCCTCCGCACCCCACGGGCACTCGGTAAATGCGGATGGAGAAGGAAGGGTCGTCTGGCAGGAGTGCAAACCGGCCGCCGCGGGAAGCCCTGGGCACGGAGAAAGGCTGGTGAAGCCTATCACCGCGCTCCAGGGGTTGGCAGTGAGTGTCACGAGGGGCCCTGCGCAGAGGGGGTCTCCGGGGCTGGCGCGATAACAATGGAGACAAAGATATGGATGCGATGGGGCTGCTGTGACGATTGATTTTAGACGAAGAAGAAGAACAGGGTTCAATGAAGGCAGCTCCTGTGAGTCTTTTATGCTTTGAAGGGAGAGGAGAGGCCCTACTAAGGAATCGTTAAGTGAGGCCAACGCTACGGACACCTCTCCCCCCTGCCCCCCGCAGGGCCATTCAGAGTCGCCGCCTCGGGAGTTTGGGGCTTCGGAGGCGGCCCGCCAACGCCGGTGAGGCCAGGGCGCCAGGTACCCGAGAGCGAGAGAGTCGGTTCAAGTTCCGGGAGCTTCCCGTCCGCAGGCTCAGAAGTAACTTGCACTGGAGTCAGGGCAACAGCCGCTCCCTTCGGAAGGGGCGCGCCCGGGCGGGCTTAGGAGGAGCTCGGGAGGGGGAAGGAGCAGGGCGCAGCCCGGGCGCGCGAGGTCGGGGGTGGGGGGATGGGTTGGGGGGTGCGCCGGGGTCCCGTCCCTCTCCTCCCCGAAGCGATTCAGGTGCCACCGCCCCGTCTCTCCGGGACCGGCCCAGGGAGCCGTGGCGTGCGCGCGGCACGGCCCCTCCCGGATAAGGTTCGCCGCGTTCCTCCGCACCCGCACCCCGAGCCCCACCCGGGAGGCCACTGGCAGTGGCCTCGCGCCCCCGCCTTCGACCGGGCCGCCAAGTCCTGGAGCCCAGGGCACCCTGGCGCTGCCCGGGCCCGCGGGGCTCGCGGAGGCCGCACTCACCGAGCAGGAGCACCGAGCTGGACAGGCGAAGGGCTCCCGTGGCCATGGCGCATCTGCCTGACTCGCCGGGCGGGCGGCGGGCTCCTCCGCCTTTCAGGCACCGTCCGACCCAGGGTATCCTCCCAGGCCACACCCTCTGCCTCCGGAAAAGGCACCGCCCAGCCAACACGCGGGCCGCGGGCTACGCCTTCCTCCGGAGCGCGCCGGCGCGGCCCCGCCTCCCCTCGCGCGCCGGCGCGGCCCCGCTCTCCCCTCGCGCCGGCGCGGCCCCGCTCTCCCCTCGCGCGCCGGCGCGGCCCCGCTCTCCCCTCGCGCCGGCGCGGCCCCGCTCCCCCCTCGCGCGCCGGCGCGGTGCCGCCTCCCCGCCCCTCCCCGCCCCCCCCCCCGCACCCGGTTTCCTCGGCATTTGCAGCGTGACGGAGGCATCGCCGTGGCGGGGGGTTCGCTCCCCCACAGCTGCGCCCCACTCAGCTGGCCCCTGAGTGGCAGGACTCCGCCGAAGGACGGAGGACTTGCTTTTCCTGCCAAGTTACTGGGCTAAGGGGACGCCGGACCAGACAGGTTAAACAGGGAACCGGGAGCTGTCAGGCACCTGCTAGCCTGCGTGGGGTTCCTGGTGCCGCCCCTTCCCCGCCGGTCTCCTCATCGGAGCGCAGGCCACCTTCTCCTAAAGCCTGCCCCCAACCCCAGCACTCCCTCTCCCGGGGCTGGGACGTCCAGCCTGTGGTTTCTCCCTCCTCAGTTTCCCTCTCGGCTCTTCTTTTCCTCCATCTCAACTGTGAACCTTCCCGAGGCCGAAGCGGTGGGTCTGCTTACTGTTTGGCCAACCCAAATCTCTCCCAGGGCCAACTCCTCCCAACAGCGCCCCGCTCAGCTCCCTTTCTTTGGGAGAGAAGCTCCCAGTCCGCCCGCCCCTGGGAGTTAAGGGAACTCTTTCAGGGACAGGGCCTGTCCGAATACAGTAAACGCCAACATGCTGCCAGGTGTGGGAGAGTGGGAGCGTGTGAGGAAGGATTCGTTGGGCCTGCCTTGGCTGGACACCCCTGACCAGCGAGCAGTGCCATAAGAGAGATGCTGTGTTGCCCTGGCCGGTGTGCTCCTTGGCTAGAGCGTTGCCCCTGCACCAGAGTCAACGGTTTGATTCCCAGTCAAGGGCACCACCTGGGTTACAGGTTCGATCCCCTCCCTGGGGTGCATGCACCAATCCATGTGTCTCTCTGACAGCATGTTTGTTTTTCATCTCTCCCCGTCCCTTTCACTCTCTCTGAAATAAATATCCTCTGGTGAGGGTTAACGAGAGAGAGAGAGAGAGAGAGAGAGAGAGAGAGGGAGAGAGAGAGGAGGCTGTGCTCCCATCAAACCTTTCTAGGCCCAGCTGGCATGTCTCGGTGGCTGAGCATCGACCTATGAACGAGAAGGTCATGGTTTGATTCCCAGTCAGGGCATATGCCAGGGTTGTAGGCTTTGATCCCCAGTGGAGGGTGTGCGGGAGGCAGCCGATCAATGATTCTCATCATTGATGTTTCTACCTCTCCCTCTCCCTTCCTCTCTGAAATCAATAAAAATATATATTTTAAAAAAAACTTTCTAGAAGCACTGAAATGTCTGGTCCAGCTGACCTCATGAATCAGAAGTGGCTCAGAAAGGCCAGACCTGAAATGCCTCAGGCAGACGGCCAAACAGGCCCTACCTCGCCACCGAAGGAGGGCTGGGTGTAGGTTTCCTCCTGGACCAGTGACCGGAGGCCTACTTGCACCAGCTGTCATTGTAGACGATCATGGACTAGACGGTAAGAAAGGAGCTCATTCGCCTGCTCTGGTAGCATGGGGTGGGTGCTGCTCTCTGGTTTCCTGGCTCTAGTTCTTGCCAGCCTTGGAACTTCTCCCAGGAGGCCTACAAACCCTAGAACAGAGAGAGGAAATCACTGCTCCTAGACCTCCAGACCTGAGAGTCCTTTTGCCTCCTGCAGGACTGTCTATTCACTTCACTTAGATAAACACGGGGTGGATTTGCACTTAACGCCCAACCTGAAAACAAGGTCCCAGCATGCTCTCCTTCCAAGGAGCATGCCCTTGCCGTTCCCTTCCCCTTCTCCTTCCCCCCTAAACTCCAAGGGACCCCATGAGATTGCCACCAGGGTAGCTCGTCCTGAGCTAACACCCTGACCTGTCTCTCTCAGGCCTCCTTTTCTCTGACTTCCAAGTGAGCCACAGCAGCCCAGCCTAACCTCATTTCCCCACCATATGCCCCTCCTGTTACCCTAGGCCTGTGGTCAGCAAACCGCGGCTCTTTGGCCCCTTGAGTGTAGCTCTTCCACAAAATACCACATGCGGGCACGCACGTACAATGCGATTGAAACTTCGTGGCCCATGTGCAGAAGTCAGTATTTTGTGGAAGAGCCGGTATTTTGTGGAAGAGCCACACTCATGGGGCCAAAGAGCCGCATGTGGCTCACGAGCCACAGTTTGCCGACCACTGCCCTAGGCTCTTCCTTGTTTCACTGTTCTGGGCTTTAATAAACACCCTCTAAAATTCATCTGGACTGTCAGCTGATTTCACAACAGAAACTTTGCAGGCCAGAAGGGAGTGGCAAGAAATAGTCAAAGTGATGAAAAACAAGTACCTACAACCAAGATTACTCTGCAAAGCTATCATTTAAAATTGAAACACAGCCCTCGTCGGTTTGGCTTAGTGGATAGAGTGTCGGCCTGTGGACCGAGGGGTCCCGGGTTCAATTCTGGTCAAGGGCACATACCTCAGTTGAGGATCCTCCCTGGTTCGGGCCCTGATCCGGGCCCTGGTCAGGATGCATGCAGGAGGCAAAAAAATTGATGCATTTTTCTCACATCAATATTTCTCTTTGTCTTTCCCTCTCTTCCATTCTCTCTAAAAAATCAACAGAAAAATATCCTCAGGTAAGGATTTTAAGAAAATAAAAATAAAATTGAAACACACACAAAGAGCTTCCCAGACAAGAAAAAGCTAAAGTAGTTCATCACCATCAAAACAGTATTACATGAAATGTTAAAGGGTCTTCTTTAAGATCAAAAATATAAATAATATAAATAATAAATACATATCAATAATTGAGCCTAAAAAACAAAATAAAGGAACAAGCAGAAAAGAAACAGGTTCATAGATACAGAGGATATTTTGACTGTTGCCAGGTGAGAGGAGGGTTGGGAAATGGGTGAAAAAGATGAAGGGATTAAAAAGTAGAAATTGGTTGTTACAGAATAGTCATGGGGATGTGAAGTACAGCATAGGGAATATAGTCAACAATATTCTAATAACTCTGATTGAAGTCAGATGGGTACGAGATTTATCAGGATAATCGCTTCTTAAGTAATATGATGTCTAATCATTGGGGAGCATACCTGAAATTAATATAATGTTGTATGTCAAGTGTAATCCTACATAATAAAGAGTTAATATGCTAATTATACCTGACGGCAGAATGACCGTCCAGAACGACCTTCCAGAATGACCAGTGGGCGGCTGTGAGGCAGCCAGGGCTGCGAGGCCTGAGGCAGCCGGGGCTATGAGCGGTGAGCCCCTTGCATGAATTTCATGCATTGGGCCTCTAGTTGAAAAATAATGATTCAAAAAACCGAGGCAGTGGGGGTGGGGTGGGGTGGGGTGGGGAGAGCATTTGGGAAAAAAATATCAGGCAAAATAATAAGACTTAACACAGAACTATTCTGGATACCCAAGGGATAAAGTCACATTTCAACTGCTGGCCAAGCCCACGGCTGCAGGAAGTAGATAAGAAGCTGAGAAAAGCACAGTTAAAGCCCCTAGAAGGGCTTGGGTTATAAAAGGAAAAGGAAAAACAGCTCTCTCTGCTTCTTACCCTCTATCTAGGTCAGTGGTTCTCAACCTTGGCTGCACATTAGAATCACCTGGGAATCTTTTTAAAATCCTGATTTCTGGGCCTCATCCTCCAGAAATTTTGTTTGTTACTAATGTTGTGGCCCCACCCCATAACAAAGAAACAGAATTTCCAGAGGATGAGGCCCAGAAATCAGGATTTAAAAAAGATTCCCAGGTGATTCTGATGTGCAGCCAAGGTTGAGAACCACTGATCTAGATCCTTTTGCATATTTCTGGGTGGGTTTTAAACAGTTACAGCTGGGTTCTGACTAGTCACGCACCACCGCTATGGCTTGCGTCATTCTGCCCTTCTCCTCCCTTTGCGGATAACACCCCAGCATTCAAGTTGTGTGGGGACCCGAGACTGCTGTGCTGCGTGCTTTCACCGAACAGGAACGCACAGCTCCTGCCGCTCCTCCAGCCGGGAAATGCTTGCTGAGCATCTCACCGTCAGGGCAGCGCTCCACAGTTTAAGAAAGATGGTGTGGTCTTGCTGCAGGGGCCCTCGATGGCCAAGAAGATTGTCGCATGCTTCTGCTCTTCTCCATCCGTCTCCTCTTACCCCATCCTGCCCATCACCCCTCAAAAGAAAGCTAGAGGTCATAGCTCTATATTCTGAACCTGCCTTGCGGGCCACCAGGTGTGTTGTGTGCTACACAGCACAGCCCTGACAGTCGGCGCAGAGCTATATATTTATGCTGATACAGCTTCAGCTGGTGGCAGTGAAGTGTTTTGAGAAAGAGGTGTTTTTGGGATCGTGTGCACAAGGGCACCACTTACGATGGGAGCAGTACAAGATAATAAAGGCCGAGATTCATGAACCTTGAGCCTAGCAGGCCCATGTGGGGCCGGAGCTGTGTTACCCCAGGTCCGCAGGTTCATGGAGGAGGTGACTGATTAAGTGCGGAGACGGGACAGTGCACTCCAGGAAAGGTAAACAGCCATATTTTCAACATAATTTATTACAGGTGTCTGAAGTGTATATAAAACATTTTAGTGCAACATCTTACAAATAGTTTTCCTTTAAAAAAAACAAACAAAATCAACAGCTCTCTACATCATGCATGGGTAGTTTTCTTACCCCACCTCTTTTTTTCTTCTTCTTCAACTATTAACGCAGAGAAACCATTGTTTGAAAAGAATATGAAAACTTGCTACAGTACAGAAACACCCTGGTCAAAGAGGGTGTGGTCATATCCATGTCCTGGGAGGGGCCTAGCACAGTGTAGGGTTCATGAATGCAACATTGTAGATGGAGAGAAGTCAAGAGGCAGTCTCT